AAAAATTTAGTAGATTAAAAAATTAATCTAAAACACCACGTTTTGAAAAAGGAAAAAATAACCTTAAACGTGGTGCGCATGGAGATTGTTGGGAAGAAGTGAAATACAAATGAAATAGATGCGCACCACGTTTAAGGTTATTTTTTCCTTTTTCAAAACGTGGTTCTTTAGATTAATTTTTTAATCTACTAAATTTTTTTGTGCTTTTTTTTCAAAACGTGGTTTTTTAGATTAATTTTTTAATCTACTAAATTTTTTTATTATTCTGTGATCCTTGATCACAACCTGTATACATGGATTATTTTTAAGTAATGATTTGCTTGTGTGTGAAAAAAATATTTATTGATTTGTTGATTGCCCAGTAGGATTTGCATGAAGGGTCGTTTCTGGCTGTCTTTTTCCCTTACGCGTGGACTGGAACTGCGAAATCCTTAACGTGAGTGAAAAAGACAATGCCCGGGACGAGCGAAATTTTGCGATCCAGGGGATGGACCTGCTGATTTCCATCAACGCTGATTTCCATCGTCAAAAGATGTTTGGTAAAACATCCTGTTTGTCTTTTCCCATTTTCTGCTCGTGGCTATTTCAAATTTTTCACTGACGAGCGGGGAAGGGAGAAGACTTCAGGAACCAAACTGTTCTTCGACAAAATGAAGATTCTTCACGGCTTATTCCAACTGAATTTCAAGATGGACACCTGCCTGCTGGAGACAGGAAATCAATCGACAAGTAACATGAAAGAAGATTGATGGAAAAATGACCGTGAATTGCTGACTTATACTCGAGAGTCTTTTCCCCCATCAAGCGAACGGGGTTTTCGAATGCTTCGCTGATGGGCGTAAAGGACTCCGGATTCCAGCAAATTTCTTCAATAACAGCAGCTCGAAAAAAAAAACCTTGAAGACGTTCATTATTTTTTATTTATTCGTGAATGTGTTCCAAATGGCTTTTGATTGTCTCATTTTCTTTTTGGTTAGAATGTGTTTATTCGTGAATGTGTTTCAAATGGCTTTGGATTGTCTCATTTTCTTTTTGGTTAGATGATTGTTTTTACAAAAATTGTGCGCTGGATTAAATTACGTTTTATATGCGGCATTTGGGATTTTATTTCCGACCTCGAATCGCAAAATTTTCTTTATACAGTATCGCTGATTCCAAGTTTTTTATTATTTATTTTTACCAGGAAAATACCGTTTTGTATTGCTATTTTTTACAAGAATGAAGCAAAAAAATATGAAATATTCCGGAAAAATTCAAATGTAGTTGCATTTATTTTCACTTGAAGAGTTGAATCACACAATTAATATCTATTCAGCCGACTTTGGATTAAAAATATCCAGTTTCTGAACACATATATATTTATTTTGGTATAAATTATGGTAAAGATTAATAATGTAAACATTCTCCTTTTCCGGAAACTAAAAACTAGCAAACTATAGTGCATGAAAGCAAAAAAAAATCAATTTAATTTCTTGAGCTGAAAAATTTGCGAAGTATGATATACTGTATACATAAATTGAAGATTTTGAAAAACCGGGACAAGTTTTCTGTCCATTGAGGATTTCAAATTAAATAAAAAATTTCATGTACTTCTTCTCTGACAATGAAAAACTGCTGAGATTGGAAAAGAAAGCTCAGTTTTTCTCCATATAGAAACGAAATCTGACGAAAAAATAGTGAAATACGATTCATTTAGGAATACAGCTTTAAAAAACTGGTTTCAGTTTTCGTGTCAGAGCAAAAAGTATTTTACACCCTTTTCTTTGCCGAAAAACTAGTAAACTATAGTCAAATGAAAAGAAATCAAAATAATTATCGACTTTTTCTTCCATGGAAAAGAAAAATCTGATGAGCAATTAGGAAAATATGATTTAAATGAAAATTCAGATTTAAAAATCCGATTCAAAATGCTGTAGTGTCTATTGATTTCTGGTCAAATAAAAATTCTTTATACATTTCTTCTCTGAAAATGGAAAACTGGTGAGAGAAAAATAATTCAAAGGAAGCTCTCAAGTTTGTCTCCATGTATATTAAAACGAAATCTCATGAAAAATCAGCAAAATAAGATTTATGTAAAATAAACATATTTAAAAACCCGGTTTCAGTTCTCGTGTAGAAAAAAAGTTGAATGTTTTTCTTCGCCGAAAAACTATAGTGAACTATTAGTAAAATGAAAAGAAATAAAAATAATCCTCGAGTTTTTCTTCCATGCTGCTGAAAAATAAAATCTGATGAACAATTAACAAAATATGATTCATTAAAAAATGCAGTTTTATGAATCATTTTCAGTTGCTGCGTCAATTGATTTCAGATTAAATAATAACTTTTTCAAGATTTATTCTCTGACAATGAAAAACTGGCGAGAGGAAAAAATAAATCAAAGGAAGCTCTCAGGTTTTTTCTTCCATAGAAACGACACGTGATGGACAATTAGCAAATAGCCGGTGGCAATAAGTCCCAGGAAAAAAGTCGGCCTGTGTATTTCCCTACGCCTTTCAAAGAACATAAAACAAGCTTTTTCTAATTTCATCTGCTAACAAAAGTATGCGTGTATTCACTTATTTAAAAAAACAAATTTTTCTCTATCTCAAACATAATTTTTCATCTTTCTGTGTAGTGTATGTCAACCCACTCATCTTCCCTCTCTCCTCTCGGGGGATTTATAAAAACCTTGGGAGCTCTTTTTCTTACCGGAAGCTGCCTTCGTGCAGTACAGAGAACTGCTACACTCTTATACAGCAAGAAAGAATAATGCTTTGAAATTCATTCGGGTATTGAATTCCAAAGTTTGAAATTTGAGTGTTCGGTTTGTGAAAAGGCGGGGCGACAATACGAAAGATGAGGTTCCCAGTGTTCCTTGCGTTGCTGGGCCTCGTCGCAGTCGCTTTATTCGTCGGTAAGAAACCCTTGCAGCGACCTCTAGCAAAACATTTTAACATTCAAAGCGCGGCTTATAAAACTGGCTGCTAGGTGTCAGTTATACAATTGCGAAAAATTTCGCCGATTTTGTTCGGAAAATTATCGAAAGCCTAAATCCTTGTCTGGAGAACTATTATTCAGAGTGATGATGAATGATTTTTGAAAATATTTCGAGGAGTTTACGACTTGATTGCGTCATTTTTCTTACATATATCCATAGATTTCACGAAGGCGTCGGACGAAGATGACGACGACGACGATGATTTGGGAGACGGAGATCTTTCCCTCATGCCCAAGAAGAAGAAGTCGAAAGACCCTCTCTTGAATCAACTCATGGAGTCTGAAATGAACGCCATGCCCAAGGACACCATGTTACCATTGGATGGTCTAGTGCCTTCTGCTGATAATGGTCTCCTGCCCGAAGATGGTCCACTGCCCGGAAATGGTTTAGTGCCATCAGCAGGAACTGCTGGTTATTTACGATCAGGAAATGATGGTCTCCAGGATGCGAGCGGTATCATGCCGGCGGATGGCAACGCTGGAATGGACTTCAATCCCGACCCGGACTCGGAACACGCCATTGGTGAGTGATTCTTATTTTCTTTTTCAAATTGAAAAATCCTGACGAAATTCATGAGAAAATCACCCAAGGAAATTTCTTGAAGGGGCAAGAAATTTTACTCGGTCTGGACTCGAACGCATATTCTTGAAACATTCACCATATTTAAGAAGATATTAGCTTTAAAAAAAAAGCATCTGTTGGGAAGTTTGAGATAATTCTCCAAGTTAGAATTAAACTTGAAGGATTCAGTTGGAATATACAACAGGGGTGACTGAAAACCCTATTCTGAAGTTGATATATTTTTCTGAAGGTGTTGTACAAAACACCAAGTTTGCCAAGATACTCTATAGTGATCCTTGTGGTACTGCGGCCCAATTCAAAGTGAAAATTTTTTGCATGCAGAGGTTTTTAGAAGAGGTTTTCTTCAAGCATGTGGAATATTTCCACTGAGATTATAGTTTTGATGTTGAGTTTTCCGTTTTTACAGTTTATGTTTCTATAGCAATTTTAGTTGCGAAAGAGTGAAGGATTTTGAAAAACGAAAAATAGTTTTAAAAATGCAAATTTCAGATGAGCTCGATAAATCTTGCAAGGGCACTTACAAAATTTATTTTTTTAATGAAATTCAAGAAGAAATGCCAGCTCAAAAATAAAACCTGGCTGAAAAATCTGTCGGGATGAGGAACAAAAAAGGAGCAACAACGAAACATTATAATCTATTCAGATACATTCACAAAAGTAATTCGAACGAATTTCAAAACAACAGCAAAATTGAAAAAAATGAAACCCATTTTTACTCTGCAAAATACAGCCTATTTATGAAAATTTAGAAAAATTCTCTCCCAATCCTATCTCTTCGAAATCTTCGCGGCAGCCGGAAACTCATTTCGTATACGAAAGTTTGTAAATTTTTCTGTAGGAATACTTCTTTCGTTTAAAATGTTCGCAATTTTGAAGATTCGCGTGAATATTGCTGATTTATTTGCAGTCAAACGATCCAGTAAACGGAAACGGAAGATGAGTCGCCGTCAACGTCGCAGGAGGCGTCTTCGCAAGCGTCGCAGGAAGATCAAGAAGGCTCGCAAGGCTTACAAGTAAAAAAATTGAATAAAAATGAAATAAAATAACAGCAATTCAGTTCACTAACTTCACTCATTATCTCTGATATATCTCACGATATGTGCTGAATGACGTTCACGCTTCCTTTTTGCACTCACAGACATTTTTGAGTCTCTATAAAACTTTTATCTCTTAACCAACAAAAAATTGACAGAAACGTAAAAAAGAATATTTTTATTACGGAATTTTTTTTTCTTAAAGTCTTGGTTTGTTTTATTGTAAATACTGTAACTCATGTAACTGTGACCAGTGTACTGAACAATTAACTTCTACACTACTTTCATTGTTTAATTTGATGCTATAGACAAAATAAAACATGTTCTAGTCATTGAATAAAACCTGCAACTATAATACATCCAAATATTTATTTATCCCAATAAACCCTTTCCGAAGCAAGAAGTTCATCTCATTTTTCTGGATGCTAAAAAATGTTCTTTATTCTTGTTCCACAATTTTTATTTAAATTACTTCGAAACTAAACAAAAAATAAATAAAATAGCGCTGCACAATTATTAAAGCTATACGACAGGTTGACTCTCTAGACAACGATCTCGTCTACAACGATTTTCTCGCTATAACGAATTTTTTTGGTCTCCTGAATTTCGAGAGTTCAGTACCTGTGTTTGTTTTCCAAGCGAGATGTGGAACATATCCTGATGAGCGGCTCGAGCTGAATGAATAATCGTTTCTCAATATAATTTCAAAAATGTTAATCTATGTTTAAAAGTCTTTTTTTTTAATTAAAAAAATAAAATAAAAATTGCAGGAAGGCACTGAAAAAGGCACAAAAGGCCAGGAAGAAGCTTTTTCGCGCTGATCCCAGGGAAAGACTCAAGGCCCGTCTGAAGATTCACCAGTTGAGAATGCGCATGACCGGGCGAGCGGGCCAGCAGCAGCAGCAGGTTTTCCGACGCGGAGGGCGGCTTTTTCGGCGCCCCGCGAGTGGCGGGTTCTTCCGCCGCGGCGGCCGACTGTACAGAGGACG